TGAGGATGTGGGTTCCTCTGGAAAAGGTGTAGGACACGATCGAGGTAACCAGAAAACCAAAGCTGAGCGGATTATTTCCTCCGCGTTATATAGCGCGAGTGAAAAAGAGATTTCACTTCTTTTAGGTTTTTTGTTATGATAAGGTAGCATCACAGTTACTCTCTGACTTTCACGTTTAGTGTGCGGCCTTAAGCACTGAAACCGTATCCTCGATTTTTCTTTTTGAATCTTCTCTCCCTTTTATAATTTCCTCATAGAAATAATTACATTGCTTGTAGTTTGTCTGTGTAGCTTGTTTTCTTGTGCTTCCTCTGTGGTGCCATATTTGACATTGTAGTAGGAATTTCCCCTTCAGGCTCCTGCTTTTTTTTGGATTAGTAGCCAGAGAGGAGCTATGAAAAAATATAAATAATCAAAATTTTAATTTTGTTGGTTGGAAAGATTTTGCCGTTACGTAAAACAACAATAAAGATGGGCCAGAGCTGCAAATACAGTAACGGAGGTTATACCAAGGGTTAGAAAAGCAGGTAGGAAAAAAAAAAAAGTATTGTTAATTTTTCTTTAATTTTGTTCTTTTCTCCAACTGTTTCTTTTAAACTGAGTTTGTAGCAAAAAGAATAGGATCCAGGAAAGGGAGAGAAGTGTTTTTGCCCGCATTGTAACTTGGAAAGATGTGTTAAAAGGAGTCTTGCTGTGCTCTGTGTTGGCAGAACACGCGTGAGACAGCTCAGGCCATCAAGGGCATGCACATCCGCAAGGCCACCAAGTACCTGAAGGACGTCACCCTGAAGAAGCAGTGCGTTCCCTTCCGTCGCTACAACGGGGGCGTCGGGAGATGCGCCCAGGTGAGGCCCGAGATGGAAACGTGGGAGGGAGGCCTTGGCTCGTTGAGAGAATGATGGTTGAGGCAGTGTGGAGAATAGTTTGTCATGTTTGATGATAATGTTGTATTAAAATGCAAAGAGTTCAATTCCAGTACAGCCAGCACTGCATCGACTTGCAGTGTCAAGTCATTGATAAAATTTAATTATTTTCATACCCAATCTTACTAAAAGATGGCAAGTTAATGGCATGCAAAAGGCAAGTTGTGTTTCAGTAGGACAAAAAAGGAACTCTCCTCTTCTTCCAGGCCAAGCAGTGGGGCTGGACGCAGGGACGCTGGCCCAAGAAAAGTGCTGAGTTCTTGCTGCACATGCTCAAAAACGCAGAGAGCAATGCTGAGCTCAAGGTGGGTGGCGCAGAGGTAACATGATGCTGGGTGTTGTGTCATATGCTCCGGGACTCGGTGGTGGGACAAGGCCCGAGTTGTACAGAGACTTTGGCATGCTGTTCGTTTATTAGGCTGCCTGTGTTCTTCAAGTGAAAGTGAGTAGTAGTTTTTCACAGGTAGGTAGTTGTCTGCATGGCAGTTGACTATTTTGGAATAAGCATGGCTTAGATCTCAAAATGTACAAAGCAACCCAAAATCTGTGGATTCTTGGTCAATTTGTAGTATACTTGGCATTTAATTTGTAACTGATGGCAGTGATGACTATCTTAGGACACCTTTGGAGTAACCATGAAATAATAATATTTTTCCTGAGCCGTCAGCATAATTTTAAATCCATTTTGTGGCCTGTAGCAGGGTGATTGTTTTTTTTCTGATTTTGGCTGGTGCTTTCTTGGAAAATACACAGTTCTGTGACACTGCTGAGTTGAGATGAGCTTCTGGGGGTAGTTATTAATCTTTTTTACTGTGGGGGTTATTAATTTGAAAACAAGTCATGAGTGTTATCTCAACCCCCTGCCAGGGTCTTGATGTGGATTCTCTGGTCATCGAGCACATCCAGGTCAACAAGGCTCCCAAAATGCGCAGGCGCACCTACCGGGCGCACGGCAGGATCAACCCCTACATGAGCTCCCCCTGCCACATCGAGATGATCCTCACGGAGAAGGAGCAGATCGTTCCCAAGCCAGAAGAAGAAGTTGCTCAAAAGAAAAAGGTATTGAAGCGTTGTATCCCCACTCCTCTTTAATATCACTGGCAAGAAACCGGGGCATCGATGCGCTGCTTTTTTCAGATGAGAGGGGTTGCTGTGATGACTATCTTAGGACACCTTTGGAGGAATACCCATGAAAAAAAAAAAAAATTTCTGAGCAACCTCAATATTTACTGTAAACACACCGTGGAGAGCTTACGAAAATGGTTTTCTAATGGAAATGGTTCTTCCCTCCCCCGGAACAGTCAGCATTCTCCATCCCTGCATGTAAATCTCATGCGTTAGGGTAAAATTTGTGTCGACAGCCTGTGAGCAGCTTGGAGGGATTTGTACCTCCATGCAAGTATGGTTAGTGGTTCGTTCATTAAACGGGTGAAGAAATTTGTAAAAACTCTCAGCACTACTTTTGAAGGATGACTGTAAGCCTGTGCTTTGGGAAGGTGTTGATGATTGCCATTTTCTCATTTTCTGCGTTTGTTTTTCAGATTTCCCAGAAGAAGCTGAAGAAGCAAAAGCTAATGGCTCGGGAGTAAATGTGACACAGCATGTGTACATAAATAAGACTATTAAAAGTTTATTATGCGTGTGTTGCTTTGTTCTGTCGGTGCTTTGGCTGTAAATCTGCTTGGTGTGACGGGAGCTGGGGCGGTCAGCGTTGCTCCCACACACCCTGTCACCTCACCGGGGTGGGACGGGGGTCACTTGGGACTGTTCTCATGTATAAAATAAAATAATGGGGGAAAAAAAACCCCGGGGAGTCCTATCCCACAGCCCCCCGCCTCTTGTGGTTGGCCGAGGCGGGCCCCGAGGCGATTCTCGCTGCCTGGGCGGGGCTTATGTCACGTGACGCGCACTCCTCCTCCTCCCATTGGCTGTCAGGCCGCGGCGCGCGTCAGCCGGAAGCGCGGGGGCTGTTTCCGGTGCGGCGGAGGAAGCGTCGGCGGCCGGTAACGGGCTGAGGTGGGTGCGGGGCCGGGCGGGATCCCGCTCCGGCGATGAGGCTGGGTCTGCTCCCTCGCGAGGCCCTGCGTGGTCCGCCGGGGCCCGGGGCATGGCCGCCCGGCTGTAGGCGGCCCCGGGGACGGAGTGGCTCCGTTATCCGGGAGCGGAGGGGGTGAATCGCGTAGCGGCTCACGCTGAGGTGCGGAGGTCTTGGGTTTTAAGGGGTGTTTGAGGGGAGGTTGAGTGATTCGGGAACCCTTTGCGCTCCGGCCTTTATCTCCGTACCAAGAGGAGGGGAAATGCCGGCGCTGGTCGGCGGTTACCGTAAAACGGGAGGGCTGGCCTGGCTTCGGGGGAATGTTCGAGACCGAGCGTCGGCCTGCAGAGAAGCAGTACTGGAACGTATCACCTAAATTAGCTCTTCTAGACTAGGTCGGCCTTTATGAGAGAAAAAAAACCCACCCACCTTTTGTCCGAGTAGACTTTTTTGTTTTCTGTTTCCATGATAACTGAGTTACACGTGGGAAACAAAGACCAAACGCGCTTAAATTTGCAATGTCATGCCTGTTTTCTCTGCTGACCCCGATGTACAGAGAGGAACAAAAGCTTGTATCACAAAGAAATAATCTTGCTGCTAAAATTGGACCATTTGTCTTTTTTTTTTTTTTTTATTTTTTCCCTCTTGCCAGCTATGCAGCCAACAGCATCACGAAATCACGGAAGAAACTCCTGAACAGTATTTCAGTGTTAGGAGCGGTGTTACTCTTCCACTGCTTTGCTTTTCTATCTGGCAGGTGTATGACTTATTTTTTGGTCTGGAATCTTGACACGAAGTGGCTGCAGAGACAGAAAAACAGCCTGGTGTGTTCCCTCCAGCCACACTCTCTAGCTAATGGTTAAATCCAAAACTTCTGGCTGAGGGTTTAGTATCTAGAAAGTTCTATCTGAGAGTATAGCTGAGTTGTCTTTTTGAACGGCTTTAATGGGTTACCTTACTGATACTGTCTCAATTTCAGATTCAAACTACGTTTGAAGTAGCCAAAACCACACTTGGAAGTGGTCAGCTGGAAATTGATATTCCCTTGTTCCACAGGGCCTGGGGCTAAAATCTTTAGGATAGCTTAAAAAAGAAAAAAGAAACTGAACCTAAACTGAAGTGTTCACATCTGCCGCTTCATTCTCCATCCTGGAAAGCTTTTATTTTGCTTCTTAACGTAAGAATTAAGATGGTCAGCAGCCTTGAACCCTGCGAAGGGCAGAGCTGTGCTGTGCAGCAGAGTGTATCTAATATGTTGCTCATCAGCACTGAGAGGGACGGCTCTAATCCTACTTAACTGCTTCCTCTCCTCGTTGTACCTTTCTGCCCCTGCGCTGTGGTTTTCTGCTTTTTTCATCGCAGACTTCAGGCTGCCGTTTTTGAAGACTTCTTCCGGCTTTTGTGAGAGAGGGAAGGATTCGTATTCTAATAGTTTGGCCAATTGTATGCGATTGGTGCAGGATCAAGTGATTCCAAAATCTGTGCAGAAGGAAAGAAGTAACACATATTCTCCTTTTCTCAAATCCTAACTGGGATTCTCTTACCCCCTCCCACCAACCTGCCCTTTGGTGGTAGCAAGCCATTAAGTGCATAGGAGTCCTGCCATTTAATTTCACCTTGAATAAAAGGGAAACTAGAAAAAGAAACCTTTTGGCCCCTCTGTTGTAATACAGTCAGAACTGGGCTAATATCTGCAGCTCACTGGTTTTGTGTGGTTTAAACAAAAGCGTTTATTTTCTGAATTTGTTTTTCCAAGTTTGAGCTGTTGGAGCGATGAATTAATAGCAAACTTTACTCCTTTTTTTGTTAAAATGTCAAGAATGTTCCCTTTGTTGTTGAGGACTTCATAACGTGGGAACACAGCATTTTGAGACTTTGTTAATCTATAATTAAAGTCTTTTATATTTGAACTACATATATCAACTACAATCTTTACTCCTTATTTAAGACTGTTTTCTTAGCTCATGGCATACAAACACTATCATCCTAAATTGTTGCTTTTTTCCCTCACCAGCTTTGTCACAGAACCAAGAGGGAGCCATGGTGTGCATTCCTTGTATTGTCATTCCGGTTCTCCTCTGGGTCTACAAGAAATTCCTTGAACCGTATATTTATCCCATGATCGCACCTTTTGTGAAGCGTGTGTGGCCCAAGAAAGCTGTGCAAGAAAAAACAGACACAAAACAAGGTCAAGGAGACAGCGCTGGAAATCCATGGGCACCTTCACCCACGAAAAGAGATCAGGAGGATGAGTCTGGAATTTGTAAAGTAAGATTAATGCATTTAGCTAATTAGGGAAACTCCAGATAAAGCACCCAGAAATAATTAAGAGTGGGCACCACAAAAAATAGTTGGATGCTTTTTTTAAGACATTTTTTTTGATATTTTTCTTATGATAGGGAGTTACCAGTACTGAGCCAGATAGAAATAGTTGCTTCTGGAGGGTCTTGGAAGGATATGAATTGTCCCTGTTTTCTGAAACAGTGGTTTTGGTTTGTTTTTTTTTTTTTTTATGACTGGCTATTCTTTCAGAGAAGGAAGAAGACAAATAATTGTTACGTCACAGCAGATACATGAAGCAGAATTTAAAACAACCCCACTTTTCAGCCAGCTCTGCCACTCATAATCGGGAAAAATGTTTAGTGTGTGTAAATTGTTCATTTATTATTTATCTCTTCTAACAAAAGGCAAAGATTTGTATATGTTGTCTCTGCGCTCATTCACTACCCCCACCCCTTCTGCCCGGAAGCAGTAATTATCTGTAAATCTAAAGAGGCACCACCTCTGTTCCTGCTGTGCATTTCTTCACAGACCTTCACTGGCCTTCTAAAAGCAGTTTTCATCAGCTACTGTTAATGTTCTGGGTGTGAAGTCCTTTTTTGACATCCCATTAATGATGCTATCTTGTCTTTGCAGTTTGAAAGCAATGGCGTTGCAAATGGGATTGCTGCGAAGAGATCCACAGAAGTTTCTGACAAGAAAATGGATTAAAGGAATTTATACATAAGGATTTTATTCCTTTGTGTCCAATATGAACTGGTGATATTTCTCTCACTTTGAGACTTCTTTCTTTGCACATTTTAGCGGAATAAAAATTCTTATCGCTTACAGGAGAGTCTCTTGCCACTACAATGGCAGCTAGCCCATTTCTTAATTTTAAATGTTTGACAGCTGAAGTTCTTAATTTTCCTTACTGGAACTACTTTTAATCTGTTTGGCGTGATTAGAATTTAGGTTAAATAACTTATGACTACATCTAGCTTTGGAAGGTAAATGTTAACAGTTGTACTAACTGCTAGTGCAATACTTAAGGCTTTCACTTTAAAAACTATAGCTGTTCTTGAACTTGCTAAAGAAGTATGAATTGCATTGTGGCAATGTAAGCTTCATGGTTAAATTACAAAGCGTTTAGATTTTTCATGTCAAATCTGTGAATGAGCTCAAGGAGTTACGCGACATGCAAAATTTACTTAGGCCACTAATAGCAGAAAGCCTTGATTTGATACTTGCATTAATCATTTTTCTTGAAACATTGTGCCTTTCTTTCCTGAAGAGGAGGAGCAGGGGCATGATGCAAGAGAATTGTTGCTTTGTATTTTGTGGCGGTTTGAAATGGTGCAGTTCTGTCTTTAAAAAAAAAAAATCCAACTAAAATCTCTTTTAACATGCTTATAGAATTTGAATTAGAATAAACCAGGATTTTCTTTAAATATAAGTTGCTTCATACAATTGTTCTTAGGCTTTTGAGCTAAAGCTATCTAAAGTGGTAATAAAATCTTTGATAACCTGTAAATGGGCCCCAGACAGAGGAAGGTCATAAAACTACTGACTTCATGATAAAAAAAAAAGTGAACTCTGAGCAAGTCCAGCGTTGGAAGTCTGTCCTGGGAAGACATGTTCTGGCACTGACTTGCATCCCAACATCGAGGTGCAATTGTGAAGTGTTTTAGCTGTCCATGGGCTTAGCAAGGAACAGAGGTGATAATTCCTGCTTTCTCCTCTCTGCTGAATCAAATGATTCAAACCAAAACCATTTTAGCAGTTTTGGACTGCTATTAAGGATTTATCATTTTCCCAAAAGTCCTACCTAAGGTATGCCTAAAAAGGCGTAGCTTTTTATAGATGCAGTCCTTGAGCCGTCACCAACGTCCCGGCTGTTATTACGACCATGTTTTCTTCTACCAGACAATTAATTATTTGGCTTGATGCCCGCCAAAGGCCTCTGGTGAGGTGTATTGTTTCCTGCCACTACCTGGTTTTGTCAGATCTGTGTGAATCGATCTGCAATATCCACAGCTGGGCGTCAGGCCGTTGCTGCTACAACCATTACTTCTGTAATGAGCTGAATCACAGAAAACTCCATGTAAGAGGTTGCCTAATACTGTTTGCTCTCCCTTAATGAGCTAGTCTGTTAGGAAGTGAATTCAGTATTGCTCTTTAATCAGCTTTTGCATCATCCTTGGAACATTATCCTCCATCTGATCAGTGCATCACAGATAGTCCTTTCTTCTAGATGGGTGAAGTACCTATCCTTTGTGATACTAAAACCTGCTTTTATTATTCTGAGCATGCATGCATGGTGTAATTCACAAAATAAAAGATAACAATACTAACTGTGCACTCCTGTGACTTCTCACAGGTACTGTTGTGCGGCGGGTGGAGGAAGCAAGCAGCCGATTCAATGTGAATGATAGAGCAAGCTTCAACTTTATTGATAGAAATCACACCTTATATAAGCAGTCTACAATACACTACTTGTAACTCTACTGGATACATTTAAGAAACTACATTATAATATCTCAGCCATTGGGTACATCTAAAAGGTCACATTATAATACCCCAGCCCCTTGTGGCATCTCTGGTATGCATAAACATCTTTCTTGCTGTGAACCTGCTTCTCTCCCAGGGTTGATCTCCCTTCACCCCCAAAGTCATAATGCGCCCCAACTTATTTCTGTGTTCTCACAACAATCCTTGCTAGCACAACTGAGCCCTGGATCTTCATCCTTGTTTACATAACTGTACCCTGGGTTCTTTCCTTTGTTTACCTCAGGTGGCTGGGACGACTTCTGCAGGGAGCTATGGCCTTGCTCTCTGCAAGCCGTTCTCCAACACTGTGGTGTGGATCATGTAGCAGAAAAGACAAGGATGGGAAACAGGAGTGTGTGTTCTTATACTGTGAGCACTGCTGGAAGGATTGTTGCTTCCACTGTGCTCTCTGTCCCAGGGCAGGTAACCTCAGCCTCTGTTTTCAGATGTCACACATCTCAGAAACAGGACGAAGTTTGGGGAGTAATACATTCACCTCTGACAGCTGTGAACACGACAAAAAGTAGGGCAAGGGCTGTACTGGGCCTCCTTTAATTTGTAAATGTATGCAGTCAATTTACAAAGTGTACATAATTATTTTGCATTATTTAGGGCATTTATTACACAAGGAAGCAGTAACATGGAAAATAAACTGTATAGTAAACTAGGCTGCAGGCTGAGCTGGGCTTCTAGCTGTGTGCCAGCACCCTATTTTAACACCAGGCCTACTGAAAAGACTGCAAAAAGCCAAATAGGCGGATAATGCAAGTAAAATGACACCGTTTGAACTTTCTGGTATGGTGTTTCAGTACTTTCATTAGCTGCAGTTAAACAGTAATGTGACTAATCTTCATCACAAAACTTTCCTGAATGAGGCACTTCACTGGAAGTCCTCCAGGAGGTTTGTGTTGCAAATTTTTCCAAGAAAAGGTCAGTAATCCTACTGTGAATAGTTCAGCAAAGAGTCAAAAAACAGGTGAAGGAAATGAACTGCAAAGAGCCTGGGCAGGGGCACAGGAGATCGTCTGCTGCGGTGCAAAGAATTGCACAAAGCCTTGTTTAAGAAAAGTAAGTAGACAGAAATTAAGGAATTCCTCACATGAGAGAACAATATATATCGAATTTAATTTAACTGAGAAAACTTCCATATGTTCGTTGCTCACTAAAAGCAAGATTTACAAAAGGGCTTAGGCACTTAATGATGGCAAGTGGACATTACCAGAGTTTATCAGACCAAGCAGCAGCTTCATTTACACTGAAGACATTTAGAAAATTGCAGAGTAGGCATCTTAATGGACCAAAGTACTTCTGCAAATCTAGTCCTAAAATCTATGAAGGCTGTATGGGTTTATTTAAATACTATTGAGGCAGAATCAATAAATCAGTATTTGAAAATATATTCAACTAATTTGAAATTTTTGTTCTTTTGGGGAGGTCTAAAATGTGACACGCTACCTTACGTGTGTTGGTTTGCACAGATAGCTGGGTTAACTGAAACAACTGTAAAATACTGAAATTATGTGCAAAAAATTCTTAAATAAAAGCTCAGATGGTTTTATGTGGCCAGTTATTTTGATGGGCCTGATTCTGCAAGCAAATTCTGACAGGTTAAATTAAGCATGATCAGCCTCTAAGGGTGTCTAAACTGACAGTGAATTCTGTGCAAAATGATCCTTTATTCAGATGTGTTCATAGAGCACAGTTAAATTCTATCCCCAGAGCTGATAATACAATATGCTGTTATTACCCAAATGTAGCAATCATGCTCCGCTCCAGCATTCTTGGCGCTGTTGGGTATGCTGCTAAGGGTCAATCCTTGGAGTCATTTCTTCTTGATTTCTGTGCAGTGCAGAACATTATTGCTGAAAGAACACTAGGCTGCACATAAAGAAAATGAAGAGAAATTTAATTTACGCTTATATTAACTAAATCTGCCTTCAAAGAGAACTATTTCTGTTTCATTAAACTGCCTAAGACATGAAGGTATTCATCTTCCTTGTGCAATTTTCTGTTAGAACATGCTCACTGAACCAAATAAGATTTGGGTTTTTGCAGACTGTCATTAGTTTTGCTTTTCAGTGAACCTGACTGCAGTAGTTTCACTGGAATGCCCTGGAAGACCACATTTGCTACAGGGATACTTTTGCCTTAGAAATGCTTTTAGATCATAGCTGTATCTTTCATTGTTGTGTTTGAAACAAACTATTTGAAATGTTGTAAATAGATGTGTTTTTATGTAGATAGGTGCAGCCATACCTGTGGTTTGTGTGAGGATTTTTTTTCAACCCCTTTTTTTGTGCGCACAGGCCCACCTCTTTATTACAGACACTTTAGCAGTGGCCCGAGACCTGTTTTTATTGCTGCCGCGGTCCGATCAAACGCCGTATGAACATGAGGCCAAACCCTATGCCAGAAGATTTCTGTGTTTACGTGGCAACGTATATGAAGTGGTTACAGCCCACCTTTGCACTCGTGCTGCCTGTCGGCTCACACAGCTGGGTTGTGGGTACGTCTAAGAGCCGGGCTAGGTATTTACTGTCACGCACCGTGATAACGGGATTAGGCTCAGGATTTACTGGGAAGGATTTCTCTTTCGAAGGGACTAGCGGTCGCTTATAGAACCAGCTACCGATAGCACAAAAAGCACCTCAGGTGGAGACGGGAAGGTTGCCAGAGGTAGAAATAATGATTTAAAGCGACGCGAGGGCAGGACAGTGCCTGGGAAACGCCGCCCCCCCCCCGCCTTTTCCCTCCCTCTGGCTCTTGGTTACCTCAGGTCCCACCGGGCCGCAGCGGAGAGGCCGCGGCCGTCAGCCCGCGCCCCCGGCGGCTCACCGGGAGCAGCCTCTA